TGATATACCTATGACCATTATAAAAAAATGTTTTGAACCAATAATATCGCCATTAACATTTATTATCAATCTATCACTATCAACAGGGAGCTTTCCAAATGCATTCAAAACATCAATCGTTGTACCTATCTACAAAAAAGGTAGTCATTTAGAACTGAATAATTATAGAGGCATTTCCTTGTTGCCAAGTTTCTCAAAATTGTTAGAATGGTTTGTAAATTGTCAACTGACACGTTATCTATCGGATCGAAATATACTAACTGAATCACAATTTGGATTTAGACAAAATTTGAACACTTCTGACGCAACATTCACATTATTGGAATACATAAATGAAAAACTCGAAGAACGAAATAATCCCTTAGGACTATTCTGCGATCTGTCCAAAGCATTCGACTGCGTCGACCATGGAATACTCTTAAATAAATTGGAATACTATGGCATCAGGGGTATGGCTCTGAATTGGTTCAGAACTTATCTTTTGAAACGACAATTTCTAGTTAAATTGGAACATAAATCTGGAGACACTTTACAAACTCACTACTCTGAAAGCGCGCCAGTTCTGACGGGGGTGCCTCAAGGTTCCATTCTGGGACCTACTTTATTTATTATCTATATCAATGATATTGTTTGTAACTTCCCATCGGTGACATTTTCACTATTTGCGGATGATACTAGTATTGTTATACACGAAAAAAATAGCCAACTATTACAAAATACAGCTCAGGAAATTATGAATGACATTTTCGATTGGTTCCTAGCAAATAAGCTCTCCCTCAACATCAATAAAACACACTGCATACTCTTCAGTCTATATGCTAACACCTCAAACATCGAGATAACTCTGAATGAAACACCACTTAATTCACAAGATTCGACCAAATTTTTGGGAATATCAATTGACAAAAAATTAACGTGGGCTGAACACATAAATCAATTGAATCATAGATTATCCAGAGCTACATTCGCCTTAAGAACTATCAAAATGAGTACCAATCTGAAAGTAGCTAAATCAGTGTACTATGCTCACTTTCATAGTATCTTACAGTATGGAATCGAATTTTGGGGCACTGCTGTTCAGTCAAGCACCACCTTCATTATTCAAAAGAGAGCCATCCGTTCACTTTTTGGTCTGAGCTCTAGAGATTCATGTCGCGATTACTTCAAAAATCACAAAATATTTACACTCACCTCCCTTTATATTTATAAAGTATCTCTGTTGATACATAAAAACAATTCCAAATTGACCCGCTCTTCGGACAAACATTCTTACGCGACACGCAATCAATCACTTATATTGCCAAACTATAGATATAATAGAACACGAAACGGTCCACTATATATGGGAATCAAGATTTATAATCATCTCCCAGAACGCATTAAAAGTAGTACAGTTAGGAAATTTAAATCTGAGCTAAAGAAAATCCTACACCACCATGTTTTTTACGACACCACAGAATTCTTCAATAAAAACTTCCTCGCTAATTCATAATGTTCTTTTTAGGTTGAATTACTTGTGTCGAATTCACTATTATTATTTTTGGTAAGTTTTTACTCAAACTAATGCTTATCAATATGCTTAATTATACTGGAATAAACAGCAACCATTTCCCCAAGCCTAAATGGCATCTGATAATTTTGTCAATATTTCATTAAGACACCTCATTGTATTGGAATTGTAAACAGTTATCTTGGGAAATAAATATCTATCTATCTATCTATCTATCTATTGTGGTATACTAAACTGTCACTGAACATCAATGAATTGATAAACATCAAATAATGACATTTCACAAAAGACTGGACAACCATGTTTCGTCTTTAATTGATAAGAAATAATTTCCTTTATATTCTGTCTGCTAGACCACACTGGTACTGGTACTGGTACTGGTGGGGGACGTTTCCACGTCAGCAACTAGTCCCCAATGGGACCTTTTTGCCAACCCCAAGTGTTTTCAATGACTGATGTGGTTCGCTCAAGAGAGCTGGCTAACATCCTTTTCAGGCACCGCCCATCAGCTCTCTTTTCAGAGTTTTTCAGCTGTGTTTTGTAGGCTAGTAATGTACTCACTACCATATGCGCAGTGGCAGGCCTGCTAACTATCATCGTTAACCCCCGAGACCGAGGTCTACTTAAGCAGCTGGCCCGCTCTCACGCTCAGCTGGTAGTTTTTCCACACCCACCTACATACACCGTCCTACTTCTTCTCTGATGCTCACAACCACATCATCATATCTTTCTGCGTGTTCTGTGTAGGCTTTGTTACTAACTCCATGCGCCACTTTAGGAGCAGCACTGTTAATTGGAACGCAACAGCGAATCGTGCAGGACTATCCCCAGCCGATGCTCCGAAACTTTACAATATTTAATTCGTAAATAAAATATTGAAAAAAGTTCCTTGCCCGTGCTGGAAATCGAACCCACGACCTTGCGGTCGTGAGACGGACGCTCTTCCACTGCGCCAATCCCGGCCCCTGCTAGACCACAAGTACCAAACATGAAAATAGATCATTTTCATCAATCTGAAAATGTAACAAACTACAGGGTGTTACATTTGAAACAATTGCCCCTAGACAATAAGTATTCTTGATAATATTGTTAATTTAACTAATCAAGAATGTTACCAGTTACTTTATGAGCACACACAAATCTATTGTATTTTTGTTCACCCTGTACCAATTGGAATCTACGCATGTGATACGTTTTTGGAATCAGCTCAGCTAAGTTAATTCGAAAATTGAAAGAAAATGGGGATGTTCTGTTATGATATTATGTGTTGTTGTTATCACCCTGTTCATATTATATAATATCATCCTTCTACCATTGCTTTTCAATCTAATGCCAAAGTTGTTAAACAATTATAATGTCAGTCAAACATATAATAAAGATGTTCATGTTCAACTGACTCGTTATTATCTATATACATTACAACATGTTCTATTGAAAAAAAATGGCGGTGACGCCATTACTCGCAAGTAATTCACCCTGAATATTAGAATATTAATTCAAAAAGAGGAAAATTATGTTAAAAAATCCACGTGTTTCAGGATTATTTCTAAAAATGGCCTGTTAAGTTGAAAAATAATTTGTTCCACCTTACGGACACACTGTTTATATATACAGTGTGACCCATTTGAAATGGAACCACCCCTGTATCTTACGTAATCGTTGGGTAAGGATCCTGATATTTGCTGGAGCGAGAGATATACCAAAAATGCACTCTATGACCAAGTGGGGTCATCTTCAGTGATATGCACTGCTCGCCAACAGCCATGAAACTATCCCAATTTCCGGAAAATGATATTAGGAGTCAAAATAGGTCGAAAATCACTTCAGATTTGGAATCAGGACGCCCAATTTACTAACTATTCAAATTTTTCCTGAAAAATTTTCAGTTCGGAAAAATGAAATCTTCAAATTACTATATTTCGTTTGTCACAAATGCCTATTCACCAATTTTGAAAGCTGTCAAATACAAAAATATAACCGAAATGCCATGAAATTATGAGAATCTAAAATAATTGCTATCAGTAGAACTGGAAAGAAAATTAAGGTTAACCGATTCTATGATCGTTAGGTTATCCAAAGAGTTAACGATTCACAATATTAATGATACTTATATATCGAGGAATCCTGAGCATAAAATAGACTATTATGTAACAAGTGTTATAAACGTCTTTTTAGTAACGAGTATTTTAAGCACGAGTGGAGCAGAGCGAAGCGAGTGTTTGATAAACGAGTGTCTAGAGGAGTTTATAAACGCGTTACATACTATGCTCTTTCTACGAACTCCGAAAATAACATTGACATACATGCTATTCCTGCTAACCTACATAATAATTCGAATGGAATGGAAATGGAGAACATAATACATGCAACTGCATGCAACCAGCGAGCTGTGAGACACGTATAAGTGATATTGGTTGTAGATGTGTCCAGTCCATTGCTTACTAACCTTTGCTGCACGTTTTTATTGTCATTTGCGCAGAATAAGTGAATTGTTCTCAAAGATGGATGCTTCATTTTTACACTTCTTGGAGATATGCAAGTACCATCTTCGATTTCACTTTCGTCTACATTTCTCATATATTTTTAATGAAGAATTCTGATACAAACGAATATTTTTGAATAATCCTAATACAAAATTTGAAAATAACAGTTGACAGTTGATACAATTAACAGGCCAGACATGTCTCAGATTACTGAAGCTGTGTTTAATGAACTGTGTTGTCATGGTAAAATGTGTTTAAGAAATCGTGTTGGTAACGTGTTTAATATTTTGAATAAATCACAGATCGTCAATCCGTGATTAATCGATCATTTAGCGTGGTACATATCCGTACGATAAATGCCATTTTAGTTATGTGAGTAGAAAAATGATCTCATGAAACCAACACTCCAGGGGTTACGTCAGCTAATGAAAAATTTGAGAATTTCTATTCATGAAATCAATGTCAAAGACTGAAACAAAGAATGTATTGGTTAAATACGCCAAATCATAGACACAAATGATTCTAATAAGAACATGTTGCTCACTTCAGACATATTCGGTTCCATGAATCAATAAGTATATTGCTCAACGTATCTTGAAGACTAACCACCTCATCATCATCAAATACTGCCTGTTATAGAAGGAATTGAAGTCTTGCTGCATATTTCGATGGAACTTGAAGTTTTTTTCAGGAATAATACAGGAATGAATTGATAGAGTCTCAAATCAGAATTTCTTTCCACGCCCTTTGTCAATTTATCACACACCCAAGAGCAATATCGACATCAGCTGGCAAAGATGATCATGGACTTTCGGTTCAACTGTCGCTAGTATAATTTTCACATATAATTATTCCATTTGGAGTATTCAAATATAAACGATTGAATTTATGAGTAGAGATAATCTCTACTACCGAATTATTTCAAAGGAATAAATTCCGAGCGCTCCACTGATTATTGGAATAAATGATGATATAGGGATATATAAATATCCGATGATTTCTGTTTACAGTAACAAAGCAGTCGAAAATGAAGTTCTCACGTTCCAACGCCTTCCTGATTTTGTGCATTTTGCCCCTCATCAAAGGTCAAGCAGAACGTAAGTATCTATACTCTTTAATCATCCTAAAGTATGAGAGAAATAAGTATCGTCGAATTATAATAGTGCAAAATTTGACTCACAGATTGATTTCTGAATCAATAATGAAAGTTATCAAGTAGGCCATGACATCTCCCAATATGATATTATTGCTGAAATCCTGGCCAAAGATTTTTTCCTGTGAAATCTATCACTCAACACTTTATATTGTTATAATCTTCAGATTTGAAAGATGAACACCATCATGTCAAATATTTTCATGATGGAACTTTTGTACAATGTTACATACAAAAATAACTATTTGAGTGTCAATAATAATGATCTCTACTGCATTCAATGCAGCAATGTGACGTGTTCAAATATAGAGAAGATCGAGCTGATCAACTAATAGACATATATGGTCGAATCATACGAGACACCTCTATAATATGAAACTATCCAAGAAGCAGCAAACTTCTTGCTGCTCACTGTATGCTCCTTGAAATAGATTCCAACTCATGAAAAGTGATTTATGCTATGATGAACATGCTGTTCACGGAGTAATTTCTCGAAACTATGCATTTTTGAAATGATCATTGATCTGTTATAATTATTATAAGGTGAAATGTATACACATCATTGAAATTTTTGAGCCAACAGATGTGTGACGAGTTAGTGAATGATTGAAATTTCAAAAAATTATCAATAATGAAATTCATCATTGTGGATACTGATACGAGTATGATTGAAGATCTAATCTATCATTTTATTTTCAGCGAGGAACTCGACATGCTGTACTACCCCGGCATGTTTGCGGGACGTTATCCAGCAGAATCTCAGACGTCTTAGAGATAGTAAGTCGATTTTTTGATATATTACAACTTGCCTATCATCGAAATAAATGTTGTCGTCTTTTTCATATTCGGAGTTATTCAAATCTTACGAGTCATATGTAACAAATTCTAGTCAGCTGAATTCAAAATAGAGTTCTCTTGATGATTATATCAATGTCAGGAAATAACAGTTGCTCATGATGATTTGTATCATCAATGTTAATCATGTAACCCCTCTGCGATCTTAATGGAATTATGAATCTCATTATAATCACATCAATAACAATATCATTTAACTTATGAGAAGCGTCCCAAATTCTAGTTTTGACATGGTTTATCAGAAAGTAAGTGATGAATCTGATCAATCTCTTGTGTGTATACCTGGATACTGACAATATTTCCCTTTGATAAGTGAATATGTGAAAAGATAAGTTAACATTTGAAATTAGATAAGTCTGGAAAATTGAATTTTTATACATAGAATTTTGAAAAATTTCATGACATTCATGTTACTTTTTTTCCTAAAAAAACTTATTCACTGCAAAAGCATCAGATGAAGATTTTTAATGATACTAATAAAGGAATATTCACTAACGGCAAATGATCAACCAGTAGGGAGAAATACTATTTTAGTGTCTGAAACTAATTGTCAAAATCAAGAAGCATGCACATGTCCTAGAAAATAAAAATGTTATAATATAAAGTGATCATGATAGACTAACACTTGAGATGGGGCAAGCATAATATTCTATCGACTAGCAGACTCAGGCAGTTGACTTGAAAAATGTATAGGTACTGATATGTCATGTTGGTAACATTGTGATATTGGTATTTGATCAGGATGAAATGATTATTGGCGCACATGCGCAATGGACAAGCCTTCTGGTTTTGCCCTCTCGATGTTGAACCATGGCGGCGAACGCTTTGACGTCGATATTAAAAATTGTAACAATGTGATTACAAGTACAAAGATTAAAGTTAGATATTCAAAGAAAGTGTTTTCTTCATGTTTGTATCGTCTCACGTTGGTGAAATACATAACAAGTGGCGACGAGGAAAAAGTGAAAATTGCAGAAAGCTAGGCACGAGGTCAACCTTGACAAAGAAAAATGGCGAACCTGAAGTTCGAGGAATTTATTCCAGAAGTGCATCCGTGGTATATTTATGCAGAGAGATTGGAACAACATTTCACAGCCAATGCAATCTCAGACGCTAAAGTGAAAGTAGCTGTTTTGCTGAGTTCGATAAGTGCATCGACATACACATTGCTTCGTGATCTGTGTTTCCCAATTGCACCAAAAGACAAAACGTTCAAAGACCTTGCGGATATCCTGACATCTCAATACTGTGCCCAAGTTAGTGTTTGGAGAGAGAGGAGAAAGTTTTATGATTTAAAACAACAACCTCAAGAAAGAGTGTCAGAGTGGTATGCTCGTCTACGAAGTGCTTCCGTAACGTGCAAGTTTGGAGATGAACTCAAAAACATTTTAGCCGATCGATTTATATCGGGACTTACAACCGGAAAAGTTTGTGATAGACTTTGTGAGGAACCTGAAACGACAAAACTGGAGGATTTGGTCTCTCTGGCTCTGAAAACAGAAACTGTAATTTCTAACCAGATGAGAGTAAATTTTGTGGCTAATACCCCGAACAACGTGACATCTCAACGAAACCAAACAAGGTGGAATTCAAACCGAGGGAATTCTGGCAACACTGGATCAGGGTCAAGAACCAGATCAGGAAATTTCAGCATGCAGAGAAATGAAAGAACAGTTGGTAACAATGGCAGCAGTGGCAACAATGGTAGACCGAATGGCACGATTGGCAGCAATGGTAGAACAAATGACAACGTTGGCAGATCAAATGGCAACACTGGCAACAGGAATATGACAGATAAGTGCAAACATTGTGCATACATTCATGAAAACATTTGTTATTTTAAAAATTCTCGTTGTAATAATTGCAAGAGAGTTGGACATATAGCCAGAGCTTGTTATAAAAATAATAGAAGAGTAAATTTCATGGATACTGATGAGGATTTATTTTATATGAATAATCCAAATAATGTATTGGATACTGACGAAGATTTATTTTATATAGATAATCTAAATACTGATTGTAAGGTTGTTGATATTGGCAATGTGAGAGACAATTCTAGAAATTCTAAAGGTACTAATCCATTTAAAATTAATGTACAGGTAGAAGGCACACTGATCAACATGTTTATTGACAGTGGAGCAGGAATTAGTGCTATGAGAAAGGAAACTTATATAAATCATTTTTCTCATTTTAGGTTAATGCCGGACTCTATATTGCTGAGAGGATATGATGGAAGTACTTTTGCACCAGAAGGTTATTTCAGGGCAAATGTTAAGTACAAGCAAAGGGAAGAGAAGGTAAAATTCTATGTAGTTACTCAGGCTTCTGCAGACATTCTTGGTCGAGATTGGTTATCTGTGTTTGATGTAAAAATAGATCTGGTAAGTCAAGTCGATGTAAGTAAAGAGATTGACAACCTGATTGATAAATATCCAAATGTATTCACTACAAAATTGGGTAAATTTAGAAAAAAAGACATTTCATTGACATTAAAAGAAAACTCTACTCCTGTATTTTGCAAGCACAGAACCGTTCCTTTGGCTTACAAGGAAAAAGTTGAGGAAGAATTAGACAAACTAGAGGAGGAAGGTGTAATAAAACAAGTGGAGAATTCCGAATGGGCCACACCTCTTGTATTTGTTTTGAAATCCAATGGAAACTTGAGAATCTGTGGTGACTACAAAACAACTGTGAATAAACATTTAGAAGATGTAAAATATCCTTTACCAAAAATAAATGAAATTTGGGACCGAATGAGAAAGGGAGATAAATTTTCAAAGGTAGATTTACAGATGGCTTACATGCAATTTCCTATGGATGAAGAATCAAGTAAAATCCTAACCTGGAATACACACAGAGGATTGTATGCAGTAAATCGTCTAGCATTTGGTATCAAGAGTGCCAGTAGTTTATTTCAAAGAGAAATTGAAAACTTATTGAAAGGTTCAGACTGTGTAATTAACTTTTTGGATGACATCTTGGTCACTGGAGAAACAACTGAAGACCATATAAGGAATTTGGAAAAAGTGTTTGAAAAATTACATGAAGCTGGATTAACAGTTAAAAAAGAGAAGTGCGAGTTCTTCAAAGAAGAAGTTGAATATTTAGGCTTCAAAATATCAAAAGAAGGTTTAAGAAAAACTGAAGACAAAATAAGAGCAATCATAAAAGCTCCCAGACCAGAGAATATTACGGAAGTAAGAGCGTTTACTGGACTGGTGAATTACTATCATAATTTCATTCCAGATGCAGCCCAAATCTTAGCACCAATTTATAAACTTTTAAAATCTGAGACAAAATTCCAATGGTCTGATGAGTGTGAGAGTGCATTCACGAAAATCAAAGGGATCATTGCTTCAGATGAATGTCTTATTCATTTTGATCCAGAGTTACCCATAGTGGTGACCACTGATGCAAGTGACAAAGGAATATCTGGAGTCCTATGTCAAATAAAAGATGGAGAAGAAAGAACTGTGGCTTGTGTATCCCGAACATTGATGCCAGCAGAAAAGAAGTACTCAACTGTAGAAAAAGAAGCACTTGCAATTTATTTTACAGTTAATAAATTCTATCATTATTTATGTTGCAGCAAATTCAAGCTAAGGACTGACCAGAAAGCATTAGTAGCTCTGTTTGGTGAGCACAGGTGTATACCTAAGATGTCGGCTAACCGAATGCAGAGATGGGCTCTATTTCTCTCATCTTTTGATTACACCATTGAACACATTAAAGGAGTAAATAACCCAGTTGCAGATTTCATGTCTAGAGCTCCAGTGGAAACAGTAACTACATCAGAAGAAGCTGCTGGGAGAGCAACTTACATACACTTCACAGAATCAGTAAGCAACTGGCCTACAAACAATGATATGGTGAGAATAGAGACTGAAAAAGACCATGTTTTAAGCCAAATCAAAGAATATATAGAAAGTGGAAGATGGAAAAGGAAAAACGAACCAGAGATCATTCCCTATCATCAGAAGCAACAAGAACTTTACATTGATCATGGTATAGTAATGTGGGGGCATCGTATGGTAATACCCAAGAGCCTTAGACCCCAAATTTTAGAAGAAATTCATTCAGGCCATTTTGGGATAGTAAGGTGTAAAAACATTGCAAGATCATTTGTGTATTGGCCAAAAATAGACGATGAAATTGAAAAAATGGTAAAAAGTTGCAAATCCTGTTTGCTGCACAGAGATGATCCACCCAGAAAACAGTCAGACTGGCCAGAAGTTCACAATGTATTTGACAGAATACACATTGATTTTTTACAAATCACAAACAAAATGTGTTTGATTTTAGTAGATGCATTTAGTAAATGGGTGGAAGTTGTGGAAATGAAACATACTACTGCTTTTGAAACAGAAAGAGTATTGAGAGACATCTTTGCAAGACTAGGATTACCCCATGTTTGTGTAAGTGATAATGGACCACAGCTAGTAGCAAAAGAATTGGAAGTTTTCCTGAAGAAGAATGGCATTAAGCATATCACCAGCCCACCATACAATCCACAAAGCAATGGTGAGGCAGAACGATATGTAAGGACTTTCAAAAGCAGAATAAAAACTGCTTTGGAGGATGCCAGAAACCATGGAGTACCGCTGTCCACACTAATATCACGTTTTCTAATAACCTATAGAAATACAAAACACCCAGTAACAGGTAAATCTCCAGCTGAATTGGTTTTCAACAGAAATCTAAGGACACGACTGTCCCTTCTTAGGGAACATACTACAAACTCTGAAAATGATAACAATATCAAAGAACTGCCATCCAAAAGAGACAGAAAATTTAAGGAGGGAGAGAGTGTGATGGTGAGAGACTACAGATCTCAAAATGAAAAATCCTGGATACCAGCTATAATAACAAGAAAAATAGGGAAAGTAACATACTTGTGCAAAACTACACATGGACCCAGTTGGAAAAGACACACTAACCAAATTATAAGATCAACAGACAATGCAAAATCAGGGGAACGTTCTTGTTTGCAAGGTAAGGATCATTCTGACTATTCTTACATCAAACTACCATCAAATAATGTAGGTAATCATCCCTTGACCAATGATGAAATTGATCTTGAATCTATTTCTGAAAATACAAATAACATATCAAACAGCGAATCACCCAGTGAGGTGACTCATGTACCTTCAGCAGATGAGCTCAGCAATATAGATGAAGGTAGCTCAGAAAATAGTTCATTTCAATTTGAAATTCAGGATGAGCTGTCTTCCATAAATGTAGAGGAATTAAATTCAAATGAACAAGGACCAAGCAGCTCTGAAAATGTAAAAAGTAGCGTAGATATAAATAGAAAGGGACGTACAAAACGTAGTATAAAAATTCCTGAGAGATACAAGGATTATGTTTTAGATTTAGAGGATTGACATATATGTAAATTTTCGTTACTCATCCAACAGGATTGCATACATTTTTGAAAAATTTTAATGGAAGAAATAAATGTTCGCATTTTAGTATTTGTAATATGTAAATAGTAGATTTCAGACATCTGAATCAAATGTTAGCAATTTGTAAAAAAAAAAATTGTAAAATTCTGTAAAATTTTGTGAAATATTGTATAATCAGCATATGTGATGTTATCTGTTGTATTGTGAACATAATATTGTGAATGTAAGAGAGTACAGCACTCGATAGAATAATGAGTATCACATTGAACTTACCTGCATCGAGAAAATATTAGGTTTTAGTTAGGCAAACATGACAAAAGTGATCAGTACTCAAAATTTGGTAGAATCACAGGAGTTGATTAAGAAAATTTAATTTGAAACATGTGAATGATCGAAAATGACTAGTAATTGTTTATTGTTTCTACAAAATCTAGATATATTGTAATTGTTCATAGAGTATATATATATATGTTTGTATGTAGCACACAAGTGATGTAAAACACTAAGATGATCATTCAAATTAAGGGTGAGGGTGATATGTCATGTTGGTAACATTGTGATATTGGTATTTGATCAGGATGAAATGATTATTGGCGCACATGCGCAATGGACAAGCCTTCTGGTTTTGCCCTCTCGATGTTGAACCATGGCGGCGAACGCTTTGACGTCGATATTAAAAATTGTAACAATGTGATTACAAGTACAAAGATTAAAGTTAGATATTCAAAGAAAGTGTTTTCTTCATGTTTGTATCGTCTCACGTTGGTGAAATACATAACAGGTACTCTGAGAGATATCTCACATGAATGAACTCTTGGGATAATTTATCATTCTCTGACTGTTTCTATACTGCGATATTGTATCAAAGCATGGGGAGGTCTTTTCTACCTACCTCAATTATATATAAGTACCACTTGAATTGAAGAAAATAACAGATATAACAATAAATACACGAAACATATCAAAGACATTGTTTATTAAAATTCAACTTTAATATACAATACAATAAACTGATACATATTTTTTCAGTACCTACACCGCAGTACCTCATAAATATTTAATTCATGAATATTCTACACAAATAATGATAATTATAAAATACTAGCTGACCCGTCAAACGTTGCTTTGCCATAAACATTATTTCTAGAAAAAGTTCTTAGATGAATATTCATCAGAAAACTTTCATTATTTTATTTCTACTTCTTTTTAGTTCGTCAATCAATAAAAGCGGGATTCTATAGTTTTTCAAACTACTCTATTTATTTTCTACTTTTATTTATTTCGGTACTCTATACCTCTCAACTTTTTCATACTACTCTTCATTTTCTACTCACTTCTTATTAGTTTGGCTATTTATAAAGAGGTGTTTCATTAGTTTCTCAAAGTAATATTTACTACAATAGCTGATACCCGGTAAACGTTATTGTTTTGCTATATACAATTATTTCTAGAATTTTTTGTTTAGTTAATATTTATCAACATACTTTCATTATTTTGTTTTCTAATTCTTCTACGACCCCGAAAACACCAAGATATAAATTTTATATAGAATCGGATCATAATCATAAAACTCAGTTGCCATATCGGATTCTCAATCTTTAATTTCCTAATTTTCCCCCAGATACAAATTTGGAATAGAATCGGATCATAGTTACAAAACTCGTCCGCCACATTGAATCTGCCATCTTGGATTTCCAAATTTTGATTAAAGAATCATTATCTCCGACTCCGACAACCCCCCGATACCAATTTTGTATAGAATCTGATCATAATTGAAAAACTCGTCTGCCATATTGGATCCGCCATTTTGAATTTCCCCATTTTAACAAATGATTCATATCTCCGACCTCTAAAATCTCCAGATACAAATTTTGAGTAGAATCTGACCATAAAAACAGGACTCGTCCGCCATTTTGAATTTCCAAATTTTGACGAACGAACCATAATCTCCGATCCCGAAAAGACTCAGATACCACTTTTGAATATAATTGGATCATAACTACAAAACTCGTTCGCCATATTGGATCCGTCATTCTGAATTTCCCGATTTTGATGAAAAATCATAATCTCTGACCTTGAAAACCCCCAGATACCAATTTTAAATGCAATCAGACCTTAATTACAAAACTCGTCTGCCTTATTGGATGCGCCATCTTGAATTTCCAAAATTTGACGAAAGAATCATAATCTCCGACCCCGAAAACCCCCAAATACTAATTTTTGATAAAATCGGATTACAATATCCGTCCGCCATATTGGATCCGCCATCTCGAATTTTTGATTTAAAAAATAGATGACGACCGATCCTCATACCTACCGAATACGCACAAAAAATTTCATACGAATCGGTCGAGCCGTTTCGGAGGAGTTCGACCACTAACACCGTGACCGCGGGACAGGAGAATTTAATATATTAGATTATATTCTTTTGGATATACTATTATTATACACCTATCGCCAAAATGAAACTTGTACAATCACAATACACCTTGCGGATTGATTGGCATTCATGACATATTTTTTTGATTATTATTCAAGCGATTCCTGGACCAGGGATAGTGTCGGCGAATCCTATCGCCTTTGATCTGCCGATGATTTATCATGTCAATGTTCTGGGTATTCACGTTAACATCACCTTGAACAACAACGAAATTCGAGGAGTGGGCGATGCAACCGTATCAGATGTCAGGTAAATTTTGTCATATCTAATAATAATTTGGTGAATAAAACAGTTGTCACGTAATCATAGTTGAAAAAGTGAGTACTTATAGGGTTGCTATCCACTTGTTTCGTGGAATCATGGATCGGAATGATCAGAACGTGGAAACAAAAGTATTCGTGATAAAAAATAAGCGTATCTACGTCACATATCGGAGTTCTCGAAAGGTGTCAAAGCAGCATGTTCACTTTGTTTTCATCAGTTTACATTTGTTTTTGGTTTCTGCTTATTGGTCATATGATCAAAAGAAACCGCTCAGAAGTAAAAGAAAGGGCTTTTTTCTGCAACCGACACAAAAGTCGTCCATTTTGATACCAAAATTAGCTCTTAAATTGACGTTTCTATCACTGACACAAAAATAGGTAGGTTGCTAGGCAACATATTTAGTTCCTAGGAGCTAAAGTTGAATTTTAGTTCCTAGGAGCTAAAGTTGAACTTTAGCTCCTAGGAACTAAAAACGAAGTACTGGATGTCATCAAGAATGAACAACATTGTGGCGGTTGGTCATTTGGGTTGAGATGCATACCTGATTTGTTTCCGATTTCAGCAGATTTGTAATTTCATACCCATGCTGGAGATATGAATACACCTTACTATAGTTTAGTATTGGAATTATAAACATCTCAGCTAAGTATTTTTGTTTGATCAGGGAAGCCTTCAAGATTCAAATACTTGCTTGATCTGTATTTCATTCGTTATTCTCGGGATGGATAACTTGTTTTTGAATAATCACGGCAAGCAATAGTTTTTTGTCTCAAACAACGATATTGTTTAGCTTCATTTGATTATTAAGCGAAAAACATTGTATCATAGAGAGGAGTAAATAATCACCATTATCATTGTTGATATGCTCATTAACCTAACATTTTCCACGTTTTGTTCCTATAGCTGGCACTGGCGCGGTATTTGCTATGAGAGCACTGGTCCATACACAAATATGTCACTCTGTGATTGTACTTATATTGAAACTACAATTCGAACATCCTTGAAAATTGAATGAACCTGCTTTTGATGCAGGTAGAATGTTCTCACTACACGGATTATTCGTCAATATTTGTTGCATTGCATACATATGGCACGGCATCGGTGGTAACTTCACATATTTATTTGAGTTAATTGTTTCGGTTGCAGAAAAAATAGCATGTTTCATTCGGATCAAAAGTGACTTTGTTCGACTCGCAAATTTTGCTTTCGCTCGGCTTCGCTAAACGCTCCGCCTCGCAAATGCAAAATTCGCTTGTCAAACAAAGTGTCACTTTTGATCCTAATGAAACAATCTACTATTATTTCCAACAGGTTTTAAACCCAATAACAGAAAATGCTGCCGTTGATGGGGTGACGTGTTATTTTCTATTGCGAATATCAAGCATAATGACGCTGTCATACATCTTCCACTCATTTAGATAATGATACCATGAATGAGAGGAAGTCAAACATCTGACAGTTTTTGGATGTATAATAAATTGACATTCATCATACATCATACGTGCGAATAAATTCTGTATTGAGAAAACCTAATCACAAATCTGCGATTGAGGTCTATAAATAACAAGTTTCAGAAAAAAAAATTGCAGAGCTATGATGATGATTACTGTCCATCAAATTATTTGTCACATTTGTTGAATCCATCAGTTGCGGTTCTCTGAACCTCGTATACGAAATTCGAACCGAAAGATTGTTTTGGAAAAATTCATAAATCACCCTATATATTATTGATAGAATTAAAACACAATCAGGGATAGTTATTAATTGCAATAGGATGCCATAATGTGGGATAGGAATATTATCAGTTTGGCATTAATTGCCATGTATAGACTGAAACATACATAGTCACAAATATGTTTAGAAAGTAGTACTTTTTGAATAACGCTGGGCCAGATCGAATAGAGTAGAAGAGTTTTATATTAGGTACCTGCTCAATTGTGTTTGTGTCTAGATTATTTTCAATAACTTGTCAGAGTCCAATATTTTTACACAAAAACTGTGAATTTTCATGAGGAAATGGAATTAGCAGATAGGTCAGAGGTGATTATGAATATAATATGGTGATGGATCGGCATACTTCATGATTGTGTGCATCTCGACTGGCCATGCACAAAGTGGAAAATTCCATTTTGTATGATTTTTTTTTGTCCATTTCCAGGTGGAACTTCTGTGGTGACCGTACGCACATCGATTACACGAATACAGTTCCACGACTGGTCCACACAGCAAACTATACCGCTGTTGGAACTATTCGAGATCCATCAAACAATGATGAAGAAGTGGTGATTGATGAAACAGGCGTGTTCACTATGGTGGTCCGTAAGTATATCAGATAGAATGCTGCCAATCTGTCTCATCTAGTTCAACTCGAGTAATTATTATGGTATTTGCTAGGATTATATGAATTCTCAAAGTATAGTGGTCGAAGCTCTCAGTCATTTTCGCAATATCAAATCATTTTTGAATGATTTTTATAAAAACGAAGAACAATTGACGTGAACATTATGTTTCCACTGCATGGTATTTGTGAAAATGAAAACTACTAATTTATGTTATCGAAGAGTTGTTATAGTCATTTCTCTCATTCCTCAAGTTATAATTTATTTCTCCGATAGATGATGTACTGCATACTGCAACTGCAACTATCGTGATTCTCCAAAAAGTGTTACGAAAGAGAGATTGACTATTTCAAGTCTGCAAACTCTTTTGTCAACTACTCATACTTATTTTTTTCAGCTAACTCGGTTATCCCACACAGTGTCAATCTGACTAGAGTAGATCGAAATGGGGTAAACGTCTGGCATGTGGTATCTGGCTCAATGATAGTAAGTTTCAGAAATGGTCACGTTGATTTCCGTACCCACTCATGCGGCTCAGATAACAAAAGAGCGGACATTTTATCGTCAATTAATGAGAACCTGGATCAGATCATCGAGTATTTACGTCCTGAAATAAATAGCCAATTCATCGCTTTACAAACCCAATTCACTCGGGGCATTGCGGAAGGTACTCGAACAGATAATGGTGTGATCTGTCCATCGGTTATTCGCCGTGGAGAAAGGAGACGATCCTGCAGAACCAACAATTGATAATGATTACATTTTTTTCTTGTTCCACTCTTTATACTTTGTTTCAATTCGATGAGTACAATGAATAAATGATTATCGCACTGTTATTGTGTTCATTCAATTTAACATGCAAGTAATTGCATTTCTGTCGTATCCTCAAATAGGCGATAGATTCACTCAATATCCTTGACTTTCTTGTATCTAATGATGGTCTGTGACAGAAGATAATCAGTTCACAATAAATGTGTTCACAGAGAGAAAAACTCAGTCATTACCTCGATAGTTCAAAAAATGAACGAAAATGGTAGATAACGAGAAAAAAACAACTACTTTCCTGGTTATATGCCACTCAGAACATTAAATCACATCCTTCCTGAATTAATACAATAATTCATATAGACGAATAAAATCGCGAGTGTTTCCACTTAGGTGCAGTTTGGCGTTTATATAATCAAAGATCAATGTAGCCGGGGTAGCAACCAGGTGGGATTCCTTCCCCCTCTCACAAGACTCCCATGGGGGATAGCTGCCGGTCACCTATCTTTCGACTTATACCAACAGCACCCCAAGGAGAAATGGAGGATTTGGATACACCAAATCAGCGCGCTAGAGCCAGCTCCGTTATGTAACGGCATGTTCTGCTGCCATTTTATTATACCAATGGTGAGGCCGTCTGATAAGACAGACTACTGGCTCTGCAGTGTCAGTGCCCGAGCAGAATACGCTGCTCACCCGCTGAGGCAGGCAAGATGTCCTCCCACTTGACCCATAGTGGGATTCTTCTTTACCTCCTCTACCGTAGTCGGGTGGTGTTTTTTGGAAACCACTGCCCCTGGAGTTCAACCCAATTGGTGAGGCACCAGGCCGTATGTATGGCCTGATGGGGCTATCCTCATCACCCCGGGTACCCTTGTCAACAAGATTCCTCTTGTTACGTTTGATGGGTTGCCGTCGCAAGAGCCTTTCGCCTGATTGCTACTCATGTTGACAAGAATCATCTGCTCGTCCCGTTGAATGAGTGCTCGTTCGAGGGCTTTTACACGTTCCTCTACCTCGTTTACATAAGATGACCCGGCTTTACCTATGATGTCTGGAGATAGGATCGCTTGGGGCTACCCAATCCCTGTCGAACTAAGGCACAAGGTACACCGAAGTTCCAGTTTACGCTAAGCAAGTCCAGCTACCCATGTCAACCGGAATCCTCCAGTCTTGTTTGATGGTTGTCCGTTCGCGGCCTTTCACACGTTCCGCTACCATGACAAGAGTGAGGACCTCAAGCTTTCAACCAGTGGTGTCTGGAACCACGTGAGGCTACCCCCACCCCGACGCCGTGAGTACAGTGTGTCCAGTTTTCTATGTTTTTGTGGGATATCTCAGTTATCTTTGGAGATAGAACCTTGCGGGTTTCGCGGTCGTGTGCCACTTTTTTGTGAAACTCAAGATGGCCTAATCAGATTTTGCATAACTGTTTCCGTTTATGAGATACAGGGCGATTTCGAAAATTTATACTTTTTGGACCCCATATCTACGAGGTTTCTCAGCAAAAATGTCAAATTAAAATCTCATCCCATATAAAAGTTTCTGCAGAATCCAGTGGCGCACCCAAAATTTGTTTTCGGGGTATGGTTTTGGAGATACGACTCAAACTTATGATTTTTTAAATGGAACACCCTGTATTTTATAAGCTCATAAAAATCCTCATTTTTTTCTCTTCAAAATGATTTATAATGTATGTATATGAAATTTTCAAAAATGGTCTGAAATCACTGTAACATTGAATTTTAATAGTGGGCTATGGATTTTTCTTATGAAAAAGTTCCAATTGATGGAATTTTCATTTTGATTTTTCCATATATAGGACAAAAACAATACCAACACTAATTAACTAAGAAAACACAAAAATTATGTACCTGATAGCAACAAATAAATAGTAATAAAAAGTTCATAATGTAGAATAAGCACCAGATCAAATATTTACAAATACAATTGAATTTCGGAATTATCCAATAACTTATTCACTGAATTGTTCAAATTGATGTCCATTTCCCATAACACACAATTGACACAGTTTCTCAATACGTCTTGATACAGTAAGAGTCACAAATAGCTTGAAGAACTTCGTGCAGCAACAGAGGCAGTTTTCCATGAATTACAAAGACATCCTTTAATGATTTTGATTGCATTAAGACGTATTGAGAAAGCGTGTGAGGGAAAGTGGACATCAATTTGAACAATTCAATGAATAAGTTATTGATTAATTTCGAAATTCAATTGTCTTAGTGAATATTAAATCAGGTGCTTATTCTAGAATATGAACTTTTTAATACCATTCATTTGTTGTTATCAGGTACCAAATTTTTGAGTTATCTTAATCAACTAGTGTTGGGATTGTTTTTGTCCTTTTTATGGAAGAATCAAATGAAATATATATCCCTCCAATTGGAACTTTTTTTAAATAAAAAATCCATAGCCCATAATTAAAATTCAATGTTTTAGTGATTTTGGAGCATTTTCGAAAATTTTATACCTATTCATCATATTATTTCATTTTGATGGGGAAAAAATAAGGAATTTAATGAGCTTATAAAATACAGGGTGTTCCACTTGAATAATCATAAGTTTGAGTCGTATCTCCGAAACCATACCCAGAAAAAAAATCTTGAGTACGCCACTGAATTCTGCGCAAAATTCTGTATGGGATAAGATTCCAATTTGACATTTTCGCTGAGAAACTTCGTAGATATAGAGGGGGTCCAAAAAGTATAAATTTTCAAAATCGCCCTGTATCTCATAAACGCAAACAGTTATGCAAAATCTGATTAGGCCATCTTGAGTTTCACAGAAAAGTGGTACAGGACCGCGAGAACCGCAAGGTTCTATCTCGAAAGATAACTGAGATATCACGCAAAAGCATCGAAAACTGGACACACTGTACATGGTGGGCCCACGGCCAAGCTTGGCGTTCAGGAACGCGTGACTACCTGCAGACGGGTTTCGTGCTGTTGGCTTTCATCAGTGCAGGGTAGTCTCCAGCCAGCAGTCCTAAGACCGCCGACTAAGCGTAGCCTAGCCAAACAAAAATCAAGTCGGCATTACATTCCCTATGAGAGCAACGCCATCTGAGTAGAAAAGAAGAGAAGAAACACTCCAAATCAAAAATTCCCATACGGGAGTGGCTGGTTGCCCGACTGGCGTGATTTTAGGTGTCTAGCATTGCCTAGCTGAGTCGAAATCAATAGGCATTAAGGAAAGAATCACAGATTTCCGGTGGAGAAAGCCATATTGTCTATTATTGATATTTCCTATATAAGCTTTCCAGATATGTAGTTGATGAGCTCAATGTTGATGTCTTTCTCTATCACTTTGGAAATAAATAATAACAGGGCAATAGGTCTGTAGTTGTTGAACAGGTTTTTCCCTATTTTTTGAGGATTGGTTAGACTGTAGCTATCTTCCAGCATGATCGAAAAATACCCGCTTTGTACGAGATGGGTATAAATAACTTGCAGAGAATAGGCTGGTGCAATTTTCTTGAGGATAATGGGTGAAATTCCATCAGGACCGTTAGCCTTATTCGTTTTCGTTTTGAGATCATGCAAAATGCGTTTGATAGTGCGTTGACGGAAGACGATTTCGGGTATTCGACATAATGACAAGATATACACATATTGATAAACTTATAGCTAGTTAGGCTAGTATTGTGAACGTCATTCAATGATATATAACGTTGCAATTGATATAATTTCCCCAGTTTTGTTCTCAGATTCACAATTTCAATCACGTAGTTTTGTAATCACAAATTTTGCTTGTCTTCGAATCAATTTTTCATCCATTTCATTATTCCTTCCATAAGAAAATGGTTGATATTTCCTTTTGAAAATCAAATTTTCACAATTTATTACACAGCAAGACATTTTCATGTATGTATGGTTTCTTATTCTGAATAGTTCATGAATTTATATTCTGACGTTCCTAGTATTTTTTGTCAAATTCGAACAATTTTGAATGAAAAAGCACGGGACGATTATGGTGCTCTTGTTACAATACAAGGTATGTAACTCAACAGATTCAACATTCAAAAACACTAACAGTTCTTCAACCGATTGAGCTGAAATTTTGTATACATACACGTTCAGTTTGAATGACAATGCACGATAAGGTGTGTCACGTTATTCTAAATCCAATATGGCGGAATAGCTATTCTTGATATACTTCTACAATATGGGTATCAAATGAAAAAGCTCGTTGAGAGTAACTCGAAAGATGATGTGACGTCATTCCAAATCGAATATGGCGGACCATCCAAGATGGCGGAATGGTCATTTTTAATCTACTTCTACAATATGGGTATCAAATGAAAGGGCTCGTTAAGAGTAATTCGAAAAATAATGTGACGTTATTTCAAATCCTATATGGCAGACCATCCAAGATGGCGCAATAGCTATTTTTGATATACTTTCACAATATGGGTATCAAATGAAATGGCTCGTTGAGAGTATTTCGAAAAATGATGTGACGTCATTCTAAATCCATTATGGCGGACCATTCAAGATGGCGGAATAGCAATTTTTAATATAATTTAATATACTTCTACAATATGGGTATCAAATGAAAAGGCCCGTTGCGTTGAGAGTAAATCGAAAAATCCAGCTAGCGATAACTAAAAATAAAAAAATAAATCAAAGGTGAAAAAAAACTCTTTAATAAAAAGCTTTTATTTGAACGCTTTGAAAAGAAGAAAATGAAATTTTTCCTAATAATTTTAACTATCAACTTATAACCTCATTATACACAATTTATATGAAAGCTTGTCGAGATGATCAATATTTAATTAAATTGCAATTTTGAAAATTTCATCCCAGCAGATTTTACCTAATTAAATAGGTACTAGTTTATTCACACAAGTGAATTGCGCGACAAACTTTCATGATCATATAAATTGTGTATAATGAGGTTATAAGTTGATAGTTAGAATTATTAAGAAACATATTATTTTCTTCTTTTTAGAGCGTTCAAATAAAAGCTTTTCATCAGAAAGTTTTTTTTTTCATTTTCAATTGATTTTTTCTGAACTCCTATCTAAATGATACCCAGGGACTC